TGAGGTGTGAGGGACCTAGGCTGTGGTCCCCAAAGGGGAGACCTCTTGCCCTGAGTGTTCCTGTCAACATGGAGGTTACTGTGATATGCAGAGTAAGGGCCCCTAAAGATACCCTAATACCCAGAACTTGTGAATAGATTACCTTACTGGGCAAGAGAGACTTCATTGATGTGATTAAGTTAAGGACCTTGAGGGGAGAGATTATCTGGATTATTTGAGTGGGCTCAATTTAATGACTTTCCAGTATGCCATAGGTCAAAGTGAGATGAGACTATGGACAAATGGTTAGAGGGCTACAAAGGTGTTTTGAAGATGGAGTTAAGGGGGACTGCTAGTCAGGAAATGTGGGTGGTTGGAAAAGGCAAGGAAATAAGATTCTCTCTCTGAAGCCTCCAGAAAGAAACAGCTCTGCCATCACCAAGATCTAAGCCCAGTAAGACCCAGGTTGGATCTCTAACCTACAGTATTGTAAGATAACATATTTGTGTTGTTTTAAGCCACTAAGTTTGTGGTAATTTGAAAGAGCCACAAGAGGAAATGAATACACTCATATCTGACTTTGGTCTGGAAAGAGGTCAGGCCCAGGAATTGACTGCTTTTTTCTCCATCTCTCTCTCCTTCTCACTGAACCTGAGCCTGAGAGGGAGATACACTTACTCTCCGTGTGGCATGACCTTGTTCAACCATACAGCAGAACTTAATAATTTTTCATTTTCATTCAAAGTTGAAAGTAAGTACAGTAAACACGCATACACTCTTCACTGAGATTCACTAGTTGTTAATGTTCTGCCGTATTTACTTTCCCTTTCTGATTACATGCATACATAGTTTTTGTTGTTGAACCATCTGAGAGTAACTTGCATGCGCCTCAACCCTTTATCCTTAATACTTCGACATCTCTGAAGAATAAGGAAATTCTAATATTAAACACAATTCCTTTCTCACACCTAATGAAAATAATAATTCCATTACATCGTCTATTATCCAGTTCACAATACAGATTTCCCGAAATATTTTAGAGTTATTTTATACTAATTCTCTCTGCTTCCCCAGTCAGCATCTCATCAAATTACATGCTTTACAATTGGTTGTCTTTAGTCTCTTTAATCTGTAACAGCTCACCCTCATTATTTCACAGTATCGGCTTTCTGGTAAATCCAGACTAGTTCTCTTCTAGAATATTCTGTATTCTCAATTTGGTTGATTATTTTGTCATGATTTTTTTTTAACATTTTTTTCTCATGATGTCTTTAACTTGTTTCTCCAACCCCTGCCTTTTTTTTTTAAACTATGTATAGAGGTTTGATTAGACTCAGGTTAAATACTTTTAGAAAGAATACTTTGTTAGTAATATTGTGTGGGTTACATTGCTTTATGTTAGGCACTAATTGTCCCACTGTTAGTGATGCTAAATTTGGTCACTTAGTTGAGATGTCTCCCAGTCTCACCATTGAAAAAGAACACATTTCCCTTGGCAGTTTGTAATTTAATCTACAAACAACCTGTTCCCAAACAACTTTTCATTAACAACTTGAATACCTGTTGAGGTTTTTGATCAGTTATTTCATTGGGAGCAGCAAAGATGGCGTTCTGTTATATTCTGCATGTATTAGCTGGCATTCTCGTGTGAAAAGAGCTTTCTTTTAAGAGAACTATTTTAGTAAATCTCCCGGTGGACAGTTGGATAGTGGTTTGCTTTTAATTTTGTTTAAAGCAATTGGAAAGCCCCTGTTTTTTAAAAAGATGTGTTAGTCATTGGAGCCCATTCACTAGTATTGCAGTAGCATTCCCTGTATTTCCAGTTGTGTCTTTGCTTGGTTCCCAGCAGCTTTTTAAATCCAGGCAGTTCACTGTTGTAGGATTTGGAGTAGAGGTGGGTGAGAGGTTCACCAATCTATGATAGAAGGGAAGGAAAACTACCAGGTGAGAACTAAGAACCAGATGCCACCTTGACTTCACCAGTTCTCAGGAAGATTAGTTTGTGGAAGTTGAGGATCTAGAAATTAGTTCCCAGAGAACTGCCTGCATGCTCTGGGACCCCTTGGAAAGTTTTTGCTTGCCCCAGTCTGAAGACCTGCTCTATGGTATCAGACAGCCTGAGCAGAGTCTTCCATATTTGGTTGATGACAAGTAAAGGCAGAAATAAATGAATTTCTAGAATGACTTTGAAAACAGTAGCTTGGATTTCAAGCCTGCTTTCATGCTGCACACTCCTATTTTGAATTCAGAAGCTGAATATTAATTCCTTCTTTCTTTCCATTACTTTTGTAACTTCCAAACAGTGCCACACTCTCTATCCCCAAGGCAAACCTATTCCCCAGGCAGAGGAGAAGAAGATCACATAAATCATTTTCAAAATATTGCCCCAATTACATAAGTATTGTGGGGTTTTATGGGTTTGGATGAAAGACAGCTGTCTCTTTTTTCTTCCAAGTGGCTAGGAATAAGTTTGTTGATTACAACTTAATATTTTTAACATAATTCATTTATTATATAACCTATTTTATAGCCATCAATAATATTCTGGATTATGATTCCTTATACAATTATTTTTATTATTTTATCATTAAGCTATAATGTACACGTGCAGTCATCCTAAAAAGAATGAATAATTTGGTCTTTTTTGGTTTTGTTTTAAATAATTTAAAGCAGTCTTTTTTATTTCTTCTGTCAAAGGCCCATAGTAGTGAATCACATCAATCACATTAAATCGACAAGTTATTTTAGTTGAGTCCACTATTCGTGATGCAGAATAGTACAGTGCAGTGTGCCTGCACTGGAGTCGGATCACATAGTTCCAAACCCGAGCTCCCACACTGATGAGCAGCGCGGGTTGGGGACGCATTACTTATCTTCACTAAGTTTCGTCTACAAAACAGGAATGTTAATAATAGTACCTGTCTCGTGGTTTGATAGGAAGGTTAAATGACATCATGTACTAAATACCTGGCACATGATAAAATATTAGCTGGTTTTGTTGTTTTTGTTGCCATTGTTATTGTTATTATTCACTAAGAGAAGAGAAGGTGATATCTAAGCTACCATCCGGCTGGCTCTCTAAGAATTTGTTCAGACACATATCCAGCTTTCCTGATACATGAATTTTCTGGAAGTGGCAAGTATTAGAATTAGCAGAGTTGACTTTCTCTATGAGGCTTATATAGAAAAACTAGAATTAACCTGATTCTTCTCCTAAAATAAAAGAAGTAAACATGTCTTAAGCTGTGGATGGTGAGCCAGGAAGGAGCTTCAGTTTGTTGAAATTATACTCCAGCTTCTCTGTGCTACCTCTTTTCTTACAGAGTTTGCATTCCTGCACATTGAAAGTCAGCATTTCTTCCCCCAAAAATAAATATTCAGAATTGACATGCTTAGGATTCTGAATTAGAAACAACCAGTAATATGTGCATTTAATGAGACAAATGTATCGCTAGCTTAAATTCCTAATTTAGGGTAGTCCAAATGCTGTCTAAGGGATTGACCTTGTTCATCAGATTTATTTTTATTTAAAATAATTCAGCAAGTCACATTTAAAATATTTGTCTTTTCTCCTATAAAATTGTAAAGCATTTACAGGTTGTTCCTAGTCAGGTGCTATTCTAAAGTATCTCCCAATTAAGGCTGTTAGATGAATGGCCTCACAAAATTCAGAAGCCTCAACCTGAAAAGAAATATGTTTCCCGTGTTCTTCCCACTGCTCTGTAATGGCACACCACAGTCATCCTGTGAAACTGGCATTTTCATTCAGTTGCACCTAAATAGATTTTTTAGGAAAGAACCAATGGAGAGTGGAGGGAGTTACCACAGTGTCTGTACTAATTCCTAGAATCTTTTCAAGATTTAGGGTCAGCAACAATTCAGTAAGGAAAGGGCCCATCAGGTAAATTTGGCTCTGAAAATGCTAATTGAAAGTCATCCTCGGTAATTCAATCCTGTTCCGTCTTCCTTTCTTTAGTCAGCAGGGTCCCATGGTGACTGGTTCTGAAAGAAATCATCCCCTTTGGCAGTTACCTAGCACCATGGCAACCGGGACGTCAGCGAAGCAGGGTAGACCCTGCACAAAACAGCTCCTGTCCTGCTCCCTCCCTGCCTCTAACTCAGCTCTTCCTGAGGTCTAGGGATGGGGCTAAGGACATCTGGACAGGCACACTCAAGAAATCCTACATGTTTCTGTGGTTGTGCCCGTGAGTGTAGATATGTGGGCATATAGTAAACTGTGTTCTAAGAATTTCTCCTCACCCCCAAAACATGGAGCATGTTTAAAGGGTGGGTATGGATGGTGGGATGGGGATGGGGAGATAGGCATGGGGTTGTCTTTATTTAGGTCTGACGATACATAAAAATTATATTTGTATTTATAAGGTTACAGTAAGTCGATAGTAGAGGAAGTTAGAGCCTGTTGTGACACGACCTCAGGGAAATATTTTTAAAATATTTTTATTCACCTGAAAGTGAAATACACAGATGGCTTTAATGAGCACTGAAGGGGGTGTAATGCTGTCCGTGGTGCTGAACACTTGATTGTCTCAGATGTGCCAAGGGAGATGGGGGTTGGGAGAAGTTAGGGAACACCTTGCCACGTTAGGGTACTGACGTGAAAGAAAGAAAGAAAGAAAGAAAGAGGGCCTGGGGAGAAAGCATCCTTTCCTTCCCTTCCAAGTAATTCGGAATGCCCAGGATAAAATGTTCAGATGAAAAAAATTTTTAAAGAAATTGGAGAAGGCTGGATGTTTGGATGGTTGAGTCTTCCCCTTTTCATATGGAGATTTTTGGTCAGAGCCAATCAGGAGATTTCTGCTGCTGTGCTCCAGAAAGGGAAAGTGGGGGAAGGGAGAGAGAAGCCGGCCACGCTCTCCCTTTGAGCCACATGATCCATTTCCCATGTGACACATTCCAGAGCCTTGGAAAGAAGGAGGGAGGGGTGCCAGGAGAGTAGGGCTGGGGGCGGGAAGATGGTTTAACAGTCAACCCTGCACAGCGTCATCTTGTCTTCCTACCAGGAAGCAGGCTCTGAGCCAAGGGGAAGGCAGAGGACAGAGATGAATGTGTTCCCAAGCTTCCCTGGTGGTTTATGGCATTCTCCAAACTCCTCTGCAAGGGCTGCTCCTGACCAAGAAGACCCAAGGAGACCATCTCTGAAATCAAGTCCGGATGAAGGTATGTGCTTGAGATCCCGCGGTATCGTGACTGAAATTTGGCTCAGAGGACATAGTACCTTCTATTTTCCAGGCAATTTGGTGATTTTGTCCTGGCTCAGATGCTGCTGAGGGGCTTTAGATTTGTCACAGGTCCAGAAAAGATGCTTAAGTAGTTCTGTAAAATGAATAATTCACCACAGTAACTGCCTGTTGAAGAAAAATGAGACAGAAATTGTGTACAGTGATAGTTAATAAAATAAAGCACTCATTGATGAAAAGGATTTTTTTCTTTGAATCCTAAAAAGAGGAAAAAAATAATAATATTACTGAAACCAACCAGATTTCATTGTCACTGCAATAAAATACTGTTTCATCCTTTTTCAGCTGCTTATCCTGGCCCATGTTCCCAGAGGTTGCTGGCAGTGGCTTAGGGAGCCCGAGTGGGCAGGCATGCTGTTTCTTTGTGCTCTGTGATCGTCTTCCTTCTGATGTTCCTGATACCAGGAGTGCTTGTGATTGTTTGCAGCTCCTGTTTAGAGACAGTAGACTGCCACGAAATCCCGTATCCACCGAATTTCATATCTCACAAAATAGATACCAAGAAGCCTGCCAGGAAGTTCTCATAAGAATCTTCCAAAGTTACAGGCTTAAAGAATCTGTCATGCACGCAAATCTTGATATCTTTGACCATTTCTACCCAGCACAAAGAGAGGAGCTAGCAAATTTACATTTTATTTTGTTATTTAACAAATACTTATACAGCTCTTGTTATGTGCAAGGCATCATTCTAAGCACAATCAGTTATTTAATCCTCATAATAACCCTCTGAAGGAGTTATTATTGGTGGCTACATTTTGGAGATGAAGAAACTAAGGCACAGGGAAGTTAGGGTACTTTCCCAAGGTCACACAGCTAGCAAATAGTAGAAACAGGATTTGGACTCAAGAAACCTGACCCCAGAGTCCATGATCTTAACCACTGAACCACTGAGCTGCTTGCCTGATGATGTCAACGATTGATTTGGCTACAAATTTTGTTCAGCTGACGCTACTAGAACATTGAATCAGCTTGCCTGTCTCAGACAGATCCCCAGTGAAATCTATATTTAATCTTGAATTATCCCAATGGTCATATTCTGTACCCTCAAATAACCCAGTAAGTAATTGCTTGTTCTTCTCTTCTTGTGCTGTGTAGATACCTGGTAGTAAAACACTGTGTTGCTATGGTGACCAAAGGATGTCTAAAAGGAAGAAAGAAATCTAGAATTACATCATGGTTGATTTTTTTTTAAATCAAAACTAGAAACATTCTTCATTCCTCAGGACCTAGTAACAAGACCAGCCTAAGCGTATTATCTTTAATGGTACTTACCTGGCTTTCAAAATAAAATAAATAGGCTAAAAACTTCTAAAATTATAAACACAAATTATGTCATCAAACTGACTAGATTTATTGCTTTAAAATAATATCATACTTTAAAATAGGGAATAGATCTCTCTTTGCAGATTATTTTAGGTTTTTAAGGGAAAAAGGAATTTTTTTTTTTTAACTTCAGGAAATTTCTGAGATACAAGGATTACCTCCTTTTGGTCTGTGTAATTTCTCTTCTGGCCCTTGGCAATAAAGGATGACTGATCTCATTCTTACATAGTGTAGGAAAACTTAGAGAAGTTACTAGGTAACAGATAAAAGAGGAAGAAAAGGGCAGGAATCCAAAATTTGTGAAATTCCTCACTAAATGATGTGTTTCCCTTCAGGGTTTCACTGATGAACACTTTGAGAGGAAGGTGTCCCCTGCAGTATTGAATTTTAGTTCTTAGATTAAGCCTTCAGTCCCTGCTGAAATGTACATTTCCCTGGGACAGGTACACTTTACACTGTGGTGGCTGTCTGAGGTCGGCTTCTGGAATTAGGAACCGTCTCCTTCCATCCCTGGATGTCTAGCACTTAGCACCAGGCCTGTTCATGGTATGATCTCAGTATATACTTGCAAATGGAAAATGGGAAGACTCAAAACTCCGACAGCAGTCTGCTGGAGGCGATTCGGGGGCCCATGCCTGTTTTGTTTTGCATGCGTTTATGGGGAGGATGGTGAGGAGGTAAAAGTGTAGCAGGAGACAACTTGCTAGCAGTCACAATTGCATCTGAAATTTACACATGCTAGTCAGACTGACCCTGGTGCAGGACCAAGCTAGCGTTCAAGAAGGATCCGTAAATTCTTTCCTGGGGATTACCAATCCCCTTGACACTGTATTTATATTTAGAGTGACGTTCTCCTGATATTTTTATTTACATCTAGATGGAGGCACTCCTAACAGTCTCATTTTCTTCTGATGTTTTGCTGGGCACTATCTCCCAATGTTGAATTAGTTCACCTTGGGTTGGGAGTGAGTGTCTTTTGAGAGGGTCAGTTCCTGCCCCAGGCAGTCCTCTTCTCATCAGCTTTGCCTCCTAGTCCCCAGGACACCGCACCGAGAGCTCAGAGGACTACAGGACTCTTCCCTGGAGAACCATAGGATCTTCAGAGTCAGAGTGGGGCGAGCCGGACTGCCTTCCCATACCATGGCAGTTAGGACCTGAGTGCAAAAGATGTCTCAGGGCATCTGGAAAGGATTTGGATTTAAGTTAGCAGGCTAACTAGACTTAAAATAGTCATCCCTTCTGATCATATACATAAATACAACTTTATTTTATTGAAGTACGGATGATTCATGATGTTGTGTTAGTTTCTGGTGTAGAGCTAAGTGATTCAGTTATACATATATATATTCTTTTTCAGATTCTTTTCCATTTTAGGTTATTACAAGGTATTGACTTTGGTTCCCTGTGCTAGACAGTAGGGCCTTGTTTATTCTGTTCTTTTTCCATCTGATTAAGTCATTAAGGAGCAGAAGAGTGGGGTTTGTGTACAAGGTGTGGGTCCTTGAATCCTATATACTCATCCTCCTGACCTCCAGCGTGACCTGGAGTGAGTGGGCTGTGGAAAAGAAATAGCCCTGCTGGAAAAGTACAGCCCAGCCAGTGCTGCCTGCCCACCGCACGCATCCCAGCCTTCTCAGACAAGCAGGGCTAGTGCGCACAAGGGGCTTGGGTCTGGAAGCCGCACTGGGTCTCCTCCTTTTCCCTCTGAAATCTCAGCACTGAAAGGGGGGCAGTTCTCTCTACCAGCCGAACTGGACAAGATAGAGCAGAGAGAAAGTAGAGAGGTTCCTCTGAAAGACAGGCGTTGCCAAGAGTGCTTTCAGCTTGGAGGTTAGGAATGAAAGAGGGTAAAGAAGAGGGACAGTGAGCACAGGAAATATGTTTTTGGATGTTAGATTAATACAAATAGAGTTCTAGAAAATTTGGAAAATATAAAGAAGTATAAAGATGTAATGAAAATAAAAATCAGTCATGATCTGGCCATCTAGAAATAATTTACGTTAAAATTTTGGTGTATTCTCAGTTTTTTCCAATGTATATCATGGTAATGAAAGTAAACATTTGTTAAGTACTTGCTTTGTTCTAGATATTGTTCTTAGCTCCTTTCTTGTGTCATTTATTTTATTCTCAGAACAAATGGATAAGGGTGGGTACTGTTATTATCCTAATTTTGGCAAAGACACTCAGTAGGGACAAATATGTTAAGTAACTTGTACAGGTAATAAGTGATTTGAAACCCAGGCAGGTTGGCTTGAGAGCAGGGCTTCAGCCTCAGCACTGTTGGCATCTTGGACCAGATAATTCTCTGTTGGGTGGGTGGGCAGGGAGCCCTGTCCTCTTTATTGTAGAATGTTTAGCAGCATCCCTGGCCTCTGCCTGCCGGACATCAACACTCTTCTCCCCCAGTTTTGACAACCAGGACTGTCTCCCGACATTGCCAAATGTCCCCTGGGAGGCAAAGTTACCTCTGAACCACTATTCTAAGAGCCCGTGCTCTCAACCATCCGTTATGTTTGAGATAATGTAGCCTCTTCATATTTAAAATGTGCTTAGAGTTGTTTTCTTCTACATCTTCCTGGGATGTCAGTGGCTTTAAAGAGCATAGATGGGAAATTAGTTACTTTCAGAGAAAATGCTCTTTAGTAGATGTTTTTGACAGGTTTCTTGTATCCCACCAGTGCCCAATGTGGAGAATAGCCATGTTTGTCTCTATTACCTTTCCCCTAGTTCTATGTGTCAGGCACCCTTAGCCTTCAAGGATTCAGATTTCAGGTGTACACTTAACAGTATAGCAGGGCAGTGCTTATCAACCAGTGTATCAAAATGTGTCTCAAACAAAGGATGTCTGTTGCAGACAAGTTCTTGCTAATGAAGTACCAAAGTTTGCCAGTGGTTCATTTTTTTTAAACTAATTAAAATAAATTTAAGGACTTCTATATAATTATTTTCTTTTCAGCATGACTTCTTAGCTGAAGATTATAGGCTGAGCTCCTGGAGTTGCACATAACTCTGGATGTGTCTGTAGGAGTGTGTCACGTGGAGGAACATGTTTGTCACATCTGACTCTGAAAAAGAGGTTGAAAATTGCTGATGTAGGTGATTTGGGTCAGTCATTGCTGAGAGGATTAAAATAAAAAGCACTGAGAAATGATAGCAGTAGCATTTTAACTTAGAAAATGTCTAAAAACATACGGCACTAAAATACATACTAACCATGTGAAACATATGCACAAACGTGTTCAACCGTATTTTCAATCACATCTGACCACGTATATAGTTGCATAATTTGTCCATAAAAATACATGTTAATGCAAATTCAAATCTAACTTCTGCTCCATGAACTTGAAGGTTGCTTTCTTGGAAAACCCTGACTGAAGACAGTAGTGCAGATCAAAATTTACCCAGAGTGTTGATGTGAACTTGATGTGAGACAGAATGTAAATGCTTCTGAAAAGCAGAAGTTTTTAGTAACTCCCTGTTTGGTGCTGATACTTGGTTCTTAATGAGTCTTTCACGTTCTTTTCAAATAGCTATAAATTGCATCTAGTGTACAGCTCTTTGCTTTGAGTGTAGTGAGTCTGGTCTTTGCCTCCACAC